AACTAGAGCGTCACTATTTCTGGAAGATGACATCATGTTAACACCAATTCTTTTAATAACTTTAAGTGCTGTTTTGATAAGGATAAGCCAGATATCCAAAGCTGAACCTCGCCCGCGTTATGTATATGAGGGGAGCCTGTGTTAGCTGGTGCTGACTCGACTGGGCTGAGTCCTTACCCACCGTGGTGTCCAGCCACAACAGTAACCTCCAGGCGATAACTGAAACTTCTCACGCCTGGGTGGGGCGCGAAACGCTGACCCTCGGATGAGAGGCCGACACTTTACCACTGTACATATGCTCTTTTTACACGACAAAATCATCTTACACAGAAATTTGACGACATTTGTAGCGCTGCGGTCACTGAACTTCTGGAAATAAGATCTGTCCTTCAGGAAGTCCTCCCAGACGACGCAGGCCATGGCGTTGCACTGCGAAGAGAGGGAGCTGACGGGGGAGAAGGGGGGGGGGGGGGGGCTGTAGTCCATCGGAATGAGAGCAAAATATTTTTTTGCGAATGGAAGTGAGACATTTCTTGTACTTGGTTGGCAAGGAAGATGATATAATTTTCGCATTTTATCAGAATTGAGAATAAGAATTTTTAAATTGCAATTAGAGGAAGTTACATCCTTTGTATTTGGTTGCCATTTCTAATTTCAGTGAGTGTAATTAGTTATACTGAAGAATTTCATAAATCTATTTGTGCTTCTTTTCATATTAAATAGTTAAGGTAATCTATATATTAAGAAACATTAGCATCAAAATATCCAATAGATAATACTCAACTGACAGCTAATTTACTTAAGTTCCCCCAAGAAGTAGCGCAGAAAGCCAAACTGCCCCAGCATCAGCTGCCCTTGCAAGCCGGCCTCGGACCCTTACCTGAGGACGCCGCCATACACCGAGGCCACGAAGAACCCCTTCAGGTGACTGAGCTTGTCCGCGACCAGGTACGGCATGATTTGGTCGGGCTTCTCGATCCTGCCGGCGGTCAAGGGATCGCAGTCGCTGTACACGGCGTAGGCGACCAGGCCGGAGAAGTAGAACACGCCCCACAGCAACAGCACGCCGACGCTGAACATCGAGCACAGACTGGAGGGGAAGAAGGAAAGGCTGTGAAGGCTTCTGTGATGACTGTCACAGTATATCTATCTATCCATCTACCTATCTACCTAACAATATACCCATCTGTCTCACTTGCCCGTCCTCTCGCTCAACAGCTCCCCTTCCAAGGCACTGCACGTACCTCTGAGCCATAGCCAGACTCTTGACGGAGGCAAACCGCTGATACTGCGTTTGACTTGTGCCGGTGATGCTGAATGCCATGTAGAGACCGAGGACGATGGTAGACCATAGTGTGTGTCGGGCGAAGGGACTCGGGTCCGTACTGCGGGAGTAATCACAGGCGTTGGTGGTAATAGGTGAAAGGTATTCGTATCAGTGAAATTTGCTGTGTAAATGAGCGCTTATTTCTGAACTAAAGGTAATCCAGTCATTTAGTTATCCATACTATATTTGATCATTTACTATAAATAAAAAATAGATGAAGATATGTAAATTATGCTAATATAGGTAAATCGCAGAGTAGACTCACTTGAAGAACTCGAGCCTGCCGCCCCGATCTGCGATCTGCAACACCCCGCCCAGTCCGCCCAAGTCCCTGCAGCCAACAGCCACCACCGTCACGACACCTCCGAACATGAGCAGAGTCTGCACTACGTCTGTGTACACCACCGCCTGCACTCCGCCCTTGGGAGAGAAAGGCCTATCGTAGAGTTGCTATTTCCAACGGCATTGGGTGTTGCATGTGTATATATGTGTATATATATATATATATATATATATATATATATATATATATATATATATATATATATATATATATATATATATATATATATAAAAATATATATATATATATAAATATATATATATATATATATATATATATATATATATATATATATATATATATATATATATATATATATATATATATATATATATATATATATATGTATATATATATATATATATATATATATATATATATATATATATATATATATGTATGTATATATATATATATATATATATATATATATATATAGAGAGAGAGAGAGAGAGAGAGAGAGAGAGAGAGAGAGAGAGAGAGAGAGAGAGATACATATATACAGGCGTGTGTGTGTGTGTGTGTGTGTGTGTGTGTGTGTGTGTGTGTGTGTGTGTGTGTGTGTGTGTGTGTGTGTCTGTGTATGTGTGCACTTTTTACATATATTTGTAATAAAATACGACATCAAATTCATACAATGGAGATGTAGACAGCGCAGACGAGGCCAACGGTGAGAATGGAGACCCACGTCGGGAGGCTCGTGACCGACAGGAGAGCTAAGGAGGGGGCATACAGGCAGGAGCCAAGGTACATGCACGACTCCATCAGCCAGCAAGTCATGGCCAGTTTGCGAAGTGCTTTAGATTTGAAGCGCAGTTCGATATACTGGGGGAGAGAGACTGATTTCAGTGGTGAGCACGAAGGAGAAGAGAGAGAGTGAGAGAGAGAGAGAGAGAGAGAGAGAGAGAGAGAGAGAGAGAGAGAGAGAGAGAGAGAGAGAGAGAGAGAGAGAGAGAGAGAGAGAGAGAGAGAGAGAGAGAGAGAGAGAGAGAGAGAGAGCGAGAGCGAGCGAGTGAGTGAGAGAGATTCACCAGCTGCAGATACTCGTATATCGAGAGAAAGGTGGCCATTGCATGCTCTGGTCCACGGAAACTCAGAACGGGAACACTAATTCCGAGGCGTTTCGAGTTTGGCCTCGGCGTCTGATAACTCGAAACGCACGGATCTTAGCCTTCTTTTTGTGGTGTATTTCATTTTGTTTTACTACGATTTATTGTTTCCTCTTTATTGGATTACCTCGTATATGGAGACAAGTTTTAGCGGATAAAAGATTGGCAGGAACACATATTTGACTACTATGACGCCCAGAATCAACCCGATGATGTTGGTGGTCAGCTGCGTTCCGTAGAGGTACATTTCCGTTGGCAAGCCTGAGGAAATATTGATAAATCGAAAGGCTATTATCTTCCCTAACTTATCTTTACTATGATTTCTTAATATCATTAGTATTATTTATGGTATTACTGTTTCTTTATCATTATCATGGACTCCATTACGCCTGTATTCTATATTATAACATTTCTCTTAAAACGTCGTCTCATTTCAGCGATTTCCCGCTCCTACAACAGCGTTGGGCCCACACTCACCCAGGATTGAGATAGCCGAGATGACGCCCCCAACCAGCGAAAAAGCCACGGGCGCCACGGGCATCTCGCGCCCCCCCAGTAGGAAGGCCTGGGTGGAGGACGCGCCCTTCTTCCGCAGGGAGCTGTACACACCGATGGCCAGCGACACGAGTAGCATCGACACGAACACTACGTAGTCCAGGACTGTGAAGCGGACGTCGGCGGTCATCTGCGTGGGGAGGGACAGCGCCCGGTCACAAGGGTGAGGAATAGGAATGACGAATCGTTCATTCAATCTGTTTTCATTCAAAATTCGTTTTAACACTAATGATTATGAACTTTGCTGAAAAACGTTCTCTTCCACACTAAACACTATCCTAAGAAAGTACATTTTACAGTAGAAAAGGACGTTGAATATTCAGTCACAACGAATGAAATCTCATGAGCAGTTTTCATCCATTGTGCAATTAATGAAAATACCGCTTAAAAATCCACTAAACTATTAAATCAAATGAAAATTACCTTGACGTCTTCTCTTTATTATTCAACCACAAGTTGCTGAGCACAGTCCCGAACGCCTTCGGTGGAAATATAGTGAGGTACATTTTGTGGCGAGCCTTATATATCGGCTCGAGATTTGTTGGGTCATGTTGCGTTACGCAAGGGAATTGCCATCAATATCATTATTATTTTTTATTATTATTATTATCATCATCATTATCATCATCATCATCATCACCATCATCATCATCATCATCACCATCATCATCATCATCATCATCATTATTATATTCATTATTATTGCTATTATTATTCCCTTGTGTTACGCAAGGGAATTGCCATCAATATCATTATTATTTTTTATTATCATTATCATCATCATCATCATCATCGTCATCGTCATCATCATCATCATCATCATCATCATCATCATCATCATCACCATCATCAT